TTAAAGCAGCTCTTTCCGATTTTCGAACTGAGATTCAAATAAATCGTAAGAAGAATTTGTCCGATATCGAATCGGAGACGGCTGAACTTCACAGGGAGATATCTAATTTGAAACAAAAGCTTCAAGAAGATATCGCGACAATGAGAAATAGTGTACAATTGGATCTTAACACTCGGAAAGTGGACGTAAGAGAGGAACAAAAAAAAATGGAAATAAATATACATGAGTTGAACAACAAAATTACTATTTCGTGTGGAGATACACGAACTGAAATTGAAGCGATAAAATGGGAAACAACAAGAATGGCATTGGGTATGTTTTCTATTTAAGAAATTCATGTGACTTTAGATGTTTTCTAAAATATACTGTATGGAATTTTTATTTATTAGTGGGAATATTCGGTTCGGGAATTTGTGTTTTGCTCGTGATGTTTGTGTCTAACAAAAATACCAAGAAGAAATCATCATCACCGACGAATACCTATGAACCGATTGATTTATTATAGATAAACTATCTCATATCGTGGAACATTAACTTCGAAGCGAAATAATGCCATTCCATACTTTATGTCTTAAGAACCTTAAAATCAGCATTTGCTTTATTAATAATAATAAAGTGACAGAAGGGTTTTTAGTTCCAGTCTTTTTCAGGTTTCATTGATGTACATTCGAGTTTGCTGTTGATGTCCCTGGCATTGATGCTGTTACCAGTGAGGATTGGATCAAATCATGAGCTTCAGATCGGCGTTAATCGCGGAGAGGATTGTTTTACGAAATTTGTTCTGATGTGTCCCTTATTGCTAAAAAGATACGAAAAAAATGCAAAAACCCCAAAACAATATAATGACAGAAACGGAAGTTCCGTGTAACACGTTTCTTGGTAACTGTTATCGTGGGGGATAATCGTCATGTAGCCTTATAAATGATATATTTAAATATTTAAATAGTACATTTACGTAAATGTAATATTAATGAAACGTGGTTTGTTTACAAACGTTACTGTTCGTATAGTCCAATCAAATTAATTATTTCCCAATTTCATACATTTTTTTCACTAGATTTCCGAAACAAACCATTCTTCTTCACCAAGCCTCAATCCTGTTTCCTTCCTATTTTAACTTCCTTCCTACCTTAATTTCCTTCCTACCTTCTACATTCATTTATTATTTACCTTTGGAAATAGTATTTTTTCCCTGTATTCATCAACAGATTCCCAAGATTCGCCGACCTCAAAGTCACACGTATTGAACTGACGAACGAAAAGTAAAAAGGATGGGTGCCCCAATTCTTGAAACAAACAATGCCATTACTCCCGAGATCTCTTTGAAATCTACAAATCCAGATATGACATCTACTCTTTCTGACTGTGATTCCTCCGATGAAAAGTCTCTAAGCAGTAAAGCAAGCGACGAAAATTTTAGGCCGACCCATCACAACCTTCTTACTCCTCAGCTGAAGCGTTCTGCTTCTGCTTCTTCTTTTAGCTCCTACGC